TTTTTAATTTGTGCAAAAATTTTTGTTTGTTTGATATATAAATGATAATTGATAAATATATTTTTCTTAACTTAAATATAAAATACAAGTCATTCTATTACATTTTATTGAAAAGATATCATTTTAGCTACATAGGTATTTAATAATAATTATAATTTAATTTGACCATTACAATTTTTTTTTTTAAAAAAGTGTTTGATTTTTTATCAAAAAATTTATTCACATATTAACTCTTGATCAGATGGAAATTGTTGAAACTATTAATTATAAATTTTGAAAAAAAAAAAAAGTCAAGGAAAGATTAATTACTTCTCATAATGCCAAATTAGAAGTAAAAATTAATTAATATTGCACATATTATTTAAATTAACTCGTGTGTTAGTGTCAAGTTAATTAAAATTGAAAATCCTTACATCTTACTACATTATTATTATACTAAGATCATGTAATTTAGATGATGTATATATTATTATATTTTAGTCTAAGATCTGATTACTTAGATTTAAATTTTACTGATTTGTAACTATTTAAAAATATTTTTATTACCAGAATACGAATAAATATAATGAGAATATTTTATTTTAAAAATAATATTTTTTTATTTAATATTGTATAAGAGCCTTGGACTATTTTAAATATTTTTTTAATTAAGAAAATATTAAATTAAAATTTTTAATCCGTTATGATTATCTTAACTATAAGAATTTAACTACTTCGGAATGATTTTTTTTTTTAATAAAAATACAATAATTTTGTCAGAATTTTATTTGATTTGATTATTATAAATTTATCAATATATTAATAAATTAAAATTTTAATTTTATTAAGTTAAATATTATTAGTTGATTACCATCCACCTATAATATATATATATTGATGACTTCTACATCTTTAAAGATGTTTGAATTTGTAATTTTCAAATATAATACAAGAGTTATAACTATTATGTAATTATATTATTGGTAATAACATATATCAGTTGTGAAAAATGAACAAATGATAGCTTATTTTACAAAATTATTATATATCTTACTCATAGTATTTGTTTTATATATAAGAAAAAAAAAAAAAAAAAAAAAAAGGGTGTAAGGTGTGAGCATTACATTGGTAGTAGAACAAAATACAATAAAAGACGTACAACCAACCTATAAAAAATATTAATGAGCATATATTTATCTTTTAAGGTGTGTGAGTGAAGTGGGTGAATATATTTTGAATAATAATAATAATGCATTATTACATGACTTGTAGATAGTATAACAAACTTCAGTTATTTTATTTTGAATAACGTAAATGCAAATAATATTATCTTTTACCTAAAAAAAAAAATATAGGGTGTCAGGAATTACAATATATGAAATGGTGAATCGCATTCTTTTACGATATCTATCACGCTAAAATACCCACCTTCAAATAATGTAGGAGGAGAAAGACACATCACTACAACGTTTGGGTCTCAGAAATTAAGCCACATCCAACAGATAATCTAAAACCCAAGACCCACCCTAACGCACGAAAACCCATGTGTTTTTTGTGGCCAAACACCTTCCCAACTTTAAAATTCCCCTGCCTCACCTGTTTTTTTTATTTTTTTCCTTCTCTTTTCTCTTTTCTCTTTTCATCACCTCACTCCCTCTATTTATTTACAACACACCTCTGCTCATTTCTCTCAATTCTCAATTACCCATCTCCATGTATATTTATATTAATATGCACATTTAATTTTCTATTTATCTTATTATAATTTATAAATTATGTATATTTCCCTCCCTCTTTTCTAAAAAAAAAAAATAAAATAAAACTCAGCTTCCCAGCATTGTTTTTCCTCTGTTTTCTTCGTCTTCTTCGTTAAGGTTTCGATGGAGGGGCTGGCTTTGGAAGGAGTCCGCACGTTGGCTTCTGGTAGGTCGTTGCTGTCGCTGAAACCACTAGGGACGGTGAGATTATCGGTGCTCAACCCGGTTAATTTGGATTACGGAGGTAAAAATTTGGGGTTGACTGGGGTGAATAATTCCCTATCTTTGCAACCCATAAAGGCTGTGGAGAACTCTACTGCTTCCTTGCTGACTGACTGTACTGCTGTAATCTCAGGCACGTTGTATTCCTTCTTCTTTGGCTCTTTGCTTGGTCTTTTAAGTGTTTATGCTTCTTAGTGCAAAATACAAGTTTGACTTTTTCTTATGCTATTTTTAGAAGTTCAGCAGAAGTCAACGAGCGGAAAGTCAACAAACATTGTGTGGCATAAAAGTTCAATTGATAAATTTGACAGGCACGAACTACTTCAGCAGAAAGGTTGTGTCATCTGGATTACTGGTCTCAGTGGCTCAGGTATTAGGTTACAATTCCTTCATCACATTATTATTATAATAATTCAATTAAAAAAATTTAAAAGTAAATATTACAGAAAAATGAATGCAGGAAAGAGCACGTTGGCTTGTGCACTGAGCAGAGCACTGTACAGAAGTGGAAAGCTGACTTACATTCTTGATGGTGATAATGTGCGGCATGGTCTCAACAGTGACCTATGTTTTAAAGCAGAAGATCGCACTGAAAATATTCGCAGGATTGGTGCTAATTATTTATTAAAATAATAATTTTAACATGTGAAATAGTTAATGGCTTAAATTATTAACTATTACATAAAAAATATATGTAATTGTTTAAAATAAAAATAATATCTAAATTAATTGCAGGTGAGGTGGCAAAGCTGTTTGCAGATGCTGGAGTGATTTGCATTGCCAGTTTGATATCTCCTTACAGGAGAGACAGAGATTCATGTCGTGCTTTATTGCCCCGAGGAGATTTTATTGAGGTATACATCCATAAATATATTTATGATATAATTTATAATTAACAAAAATCTGCACTTAATTATCGACAGGTTTTCATGGATGTGCCACTCCAAGTTTGCGAGGCAAGGGACCCGAAGGGCCTTTACAAACTTGCACGGGCTGGAAAGATTAAATGTAATATGTTTATTATATATGCGTATAAAATCTTATCTGGAGATTTTGCTACTTGTCTTAAATCATTGGTTCTTCCTAATTTCTCAATTTTATTATTTAATTACTTTTTACAATGTTTATATATTATTTGATACTCTATCTGTCAACTTGTACTTGATTAATTGGGAATTTACCGTTTAGTTTAAAATAAATTATCATGAGAGATGATGATCGAGGAAATATTTATATAATTCCTATATAATAAGCATGTGCATGATATACATAAGATATATATATATATATATATATGTATTATTTATGTTCAATTTGTTTGATGCATAATAATGTGCAGGTTTTACTGGGATTGATGACCCCTACGAGCCACCAATAAGTTGTGAGGTAATTAATATTAATTTATTGTTAAGAAAATATAATTTCTTCTTTTCCTAATTTTTCAAAAGGGCAAAAGAATTATTTTTTAAAAAATTATATTTATATGTCTTTAAAAAATTTTAAATCCTGCGACATTTTAATCGTAAAAAAGGAGACAAACGACGACGTATTGTCCTTGGAAATATCACTTTACAAGTCGAGTGAAATTGAAGCTTGGAAATATTATTTTGCAGATAGTATTACGGCAGAAAGGAGAAAACTGCTGTTCGCCTAGTTACATGGCTGAGACTGTTGTATCTTACTTGGAGGACAAAGGGTACCTGGAGGCTTAATTATAGACACGCACATTACATATTCCCTTGCTAGTATCAATAAAAGCCTGTCCAGAACTGTTCTTTTCCTTGTACAAGAGGAAATTACTCGTATTAATTTCTTCGTTTCTTTCTTTCGTAATATACATATATATATATATATATATATATATAGAGAGAGAGAGAGAGAGAGAGAGAGAGAGAGAACTCCTTGGTCCCTTTTCATTTGTAGTAGTTCCTAATATGCTTTAAAAATTGGAGTTTTATCCCAGAAATATCCTTCCGGACAGAAATATCAACTGTGCAAATATTTTGGTATATATAGTTATTCTTATGTATATATATGTCCATTTATATGGGAATTGTTTTTAAAAAAACACCATAAAGCTTCAAGTCCAACAACCAAGGAAAAAACCAAAAGCATTTAAGTTGAACCAGCAAACAAAGTTACAAAGGGAAGACAACCAGGACAATAATAAAAATGGTCTCATAAATTCATCCTCAAAATCAGAAGTTATAAACACTCAACTCCCATATACAGGATGTTAAATAAAACATAAAACATTCCCATATGATATCAATAAAGTTGAAGTTTTTTGTATGACAACTTTCGAAGCACAAGCTTTGTAACATCCGGGCCCAGATTAGCAAAACCCAGTCCATCTGCTTCAAATGACATCGTTTTGAAGCTGGGAACAAGAAAGTTCAAAACATCGCCATCTTGGGAAATCAGAACCAGACGCGGGAACATCTCTGAAAGCCGAAAACGAAGGTGAAGAAACCCGCATGTTGGAGAAGATAAGGAAAAAGAGGCATGTGGGATTCTTCCCGCTTTCATTTATAAAAAAAGGAGAGAGAGAGAGAGAGAGACTCTAACCTTACCGATCATAAAAGCTTGAAGCACATCTTCACTCATAAGGATCTCATCATGCGTCGTAGAACGTGGATGGAACTCCTCAAGGACTATGATTGTGACATCCTATACCATCCAGGTAAGGGCAACGTAGTAGCCGATGCCCTCAGTAGGAAGAGTGCACGCACCCTAACACATCTGATGGTTTCGGAATGCACGTCCATTGAGGCTACGCAACAGGTTCGACTGCAAGATCTGAAGAGGTCCACATGTTTGAGCCGCCTAGCAGTCCAACCCGAGTTAATCCAAAGAATATAGGAAGCCTAGTCAGTCGACCTCGCCCTACTAAATCGCAAGATGGATGCAGAACAATGAGTGAACTCACACTTTC